TCAGTGTTCACAGTTCAGGCCTTGATTTTTGAGTGTCTCTTGTAACTAACTCATTCTTGCTGCTGACCAGCAGACACTTTTATTGCAGCACAAAGTCTGAGCTCTTGTAAATGTGATCCATGAATTTCTGTCCTCGTGGTGGAATATTTTTATGGTGGAAAACGCAACATTTTCCATCTATAGATAATTTGGTACAGGTGTAGGTCTCACATGGAGCTTTACTTTCTGCTGTGTGTAATTACTAAAGTTTCAGGGACTTAAGGGTCATTGCAGCGCTATTGTTCCTGTTATCAGTGTGTGAGCTGAACTAAGAATAAATACCAGGCTCTCTTTTATTTACAGATTTTTGTGCCAGTAAAATACATTATTCAATAGAGGTTTGGTGTGTGGCAAGAAACTTTTCCATCTCATTTGTCAGTGGAAGCTTCTCTATGTCTCTCTGTTTGTGTGTGTCTGTGTGTGTCTGTGTTTGTCTGTGTGTGTCTGTGTGTGTGTGTGTGTGCTTTCACTTGAGAGTAAGAAGATACAATGGAAACTTGACACCAGTCTGTCCCAGCTCAGTTGTCACTGGTATGTTGGCTGTGTGGAATATGCCTCTAGGTACGAGGTGAAAACCTATATTTTGTATTTTAGAGTGTAACAGCAGCATGTGGAGGACTCACACTTGTCACTTGCTTTTGACAGTGAGGTCAGTCACAGACAAAAAGGGGAGGGAAACCAGTCAGACCAGAAAAACAAGTCAAGTTCCTCTGTTCATCATTACACAAGGAGAAGTCTGCAGCTTTTCTTAGTTTTACTGTCTCGCTTAGTGTTGCTGGCCTATGCCCACACATCCATATCACTGGCTTATCGTGTCTTGCCTCCTCGTACGTTGTTCCTTGGCTCTGGAAACATTGCAGGTCTGTTTTTTTTGTGCGCTTCAACTTGTTGAATACCAGCACCCTGCCCTCGGCGAGGAGTGGTCACTGTTCAAGGTTCAGGAAGATAACGAGAGGTGAGTGGCTGACGCAGAGCTTGTGTTATGTTACCAGAGGCTCATATCAGATTACTGTGGACGGCAGGTTGGGTGAAACTATAGCTGTTGTCAGATCGCTGGGGATTGAACAAAACAGGAACTGGGAGCAACAAAGGCTATTTTAAAAAGAAGCTAAAGAAGCTAACACAGGGCTTCCTGTTTTTTTCAGAAGAGCGTTACCATGGGTGAGACGACACAACACTCTCTGCTGCTTCTTCTGTGTCTGACAGGGCTTGTTCACCGTTCAGCCGCCTTAATGTTTTGGACAGCCGAGGTGGAAATAAGCTATGCTAATATCGACAACAGGACCGTGAACAAAAGCTGCGAGTGTGGGGTGTATGGTCGTAACTCTCCCCTGAAGACAGTCGCAGGCATTGTTACGCTTCCCATGGGAGACCCCATAGGCTGTGGGCCAGATCTTGTCTACAACCGTAATACCAGCTCACCGGCCTGGATAGCCCTGGTCAAACGGGGCAACTGTACCTTCACCGAGAAGATCAATGCTGCTGGACGTCTCGGAGCAGTTGCTGTGGTGGTGTATAATGTGGACGGCAGCGGCGACAGCACCACTCATATGGCTCACTCGGATACAGGTGAGACCGTGGCTATCATGATTGGCAACTCTCAGGGCATGGAGGTAGTCAAGTTGGTGGAGAATGGGACAGTTGTTCAAATGACTATTAAAGTGGGCAGCCCTCATGGACCCTGGATGGACACCTACTGGCTTTACTTCCTGTCCATCGCCTTCTTCATCGTAACAGCAGCCTCAATCGCCTACTTTGTGTTTATCTCTGCAAGTCGTCTCTACAACATGAGACAGCAGAAGCACTATGACAGGAGGCTGAAGTCGGAGGCCAAGAAGGCGATTGGCCGCCTCCAAGTGCGCACACTCAAGAGGGATGATGAGGAAACTATGTCTGATGTCCACATGTGTGCCGTGTGCATCGAATCCTACCGGGCCGGCGAAGTGGTGACAGTGCTCACATGTGACCACATCTTCCATAAAGCCTGCATCGAGCCCTGGCTGCTGGAGAGGAGGACCTGCCCCATGTGCAAGTGTGACATCCTGAAGGCACTGGGGATTGAGGAGGAAGGGAAGGAGAGCATTTCTGATGACTCCCCAGAAGAGGTCACTGTGATCACGGTTACAGGAGGAGAAACCCTCTACGAGGTCCCACTGACTGACCCAGCAAACTCCGAACCAGAGAGACATCAGCATCGCTATGACAACAGGGCCTATGAGGAAGAAACAGTCGCTGTGAGAGGATGAACAACAGAAACAAAACAGCAACCATGGATACGCTGAACCAGCAGAATTATTGAACTATAATCTTCCAACAGGAGAAACTCTGTTCATCTTGTAGCCTAATGCATGTTTAAAAAAAGATAAAGAAAACATTCCAAGGATTTTGAATGTTCATGGACATTGTCTAATTAGCTTTGCATGCCACTGCATTTTCTTTGCGTCGGCACAAGTCTGTGATTATTGGTAATTATAGGGTTTGTTCATAAAGATACCTAGAGATGGTTAGAATAGATTCTGGAAACTGATGCCGGTGTCAAATGACTGTTTTGCATAGTAAGCACACCGGTTAGGGAGGTATTTCAATATCTGTTTGAAATCAAGGCCAAACTTTCTTCCCTGTCAGCTTCTCTCAGCCTCTTACAACTAACCATTGTCTTTTCAGTTGACAGAATAATTCATTTATCTCAGTTGATTGAACAGTTTAATTTCCTCTTGATCTTCGTTTTCCATAAGTTTTTTTTACTGTCAGTTTACCAAATGTGATTCACAAAACACACCCTGTTTAACACACCCTTGACTGGAAAAACAGCATGACACACATTGCACTATGATGAGTTAGAGACATCGCCTGAGAGCCTGACCTTCTTTGGAAAACAAAATCTACAAAAACATGTTTACCACATATGAAATAACATTTTTCAAGCCCTTCCAGATTGCTGGCTGGTTTATAGCTACATTTGAGAAACAGAAATGTGGCAGTGCAATAAATGTCATGGGAACTGTAGATGATTTGCCTCAGAATGCGTGAATGTGACGTGTTCTGCTTATTTAAATAATATTCGGTGGAGTGGTTGTACGTTTTGGACCTTGCTGTATATTGAGATTGATTCGTCAATCATGAAGTTCAACCTGTTAATTTAAAGGGAAACATAAGAAATCTGTTATCAGTTTTCACGTCTAAACAGATGATTTGCATTTAAAGTTCCAAGGGTTATTTTTGAACAGGTTTTCCAGGTTGTACCTTTTGGAATTTAAGGAAATTTTTATTCAATCCCTGTGGTCTACCTCTGAG